TTCTAGCAACTTAAGATGTGCCCAAATGCCAAAACAACCAAGAAAAAAAGACTGAATATGCAAAGATGCAGGAGTTGCAGATTAGACAGCAAAGTGAATGAAGACTGGACCCTACATTTATTTGGATGTCAGAGGAAATCTGTTTGAAGATCTCCTGGTTATCTTTAGGAAAAGAACCAATTCAAATTGAGATTAGTTCAATTTTAAAAATGTCAATGACGACAGGTTATCAAATAACCGCATAAATGAACTGAGCCAGGATAAGGCCTCTCAGACAAGAGAAATTCATGAGGTTTCTGGGCTTTAGAAATAAGTTAATAATAGTGCCACTGTATTCAGTATTCTTGATAAATGTATAGATTGTAAACTGCATCATAGCTATTCTTGCTCTGGGGGGAAGAGAAATGGATAACTTAGACAATGTACATGCTAATTTCTTCCATTATAGTATCATTTTGCTATATATTTATATCTTATAACACGTTGTATACCTTAAATACATTCAATAAAATTTATTTTTTTAAGAAGCAGACTTAAAAAGAGAAAAGACAAAGTAGTAGAAACCACAACAAAGTTGGCAAGGGATTAATAGCCTCACTGTGATTAGGATAAACAACATCGATAAATAAGCTGTATTAATTGAATGACTTTTTAAATATGACAGTCTTTTGTTTGGGTTTTCTTTTTCCAGGAAAGTTAGAAAACACTAAACGATAGAAAGAACATGAAAATTTTCCTATAACACTATGACCATAAATAATTGCTACTTAGAAACTCAGTGTAGAAAGACAAAAACTGCATTTTCTCACTTGAGGAATCTTAAATGGATCTTGACCAAGGTCTAGGGTAAGAGGAAAGGTACAAAGTCATAGTTAGAATAAAAGGCAAGTATGTAAGGGAATGAATATGTTAATCTGCTTTATTCAACCATTGCACACTGTGTATCCCATAATTTGTCCGCAAAATTAATTAATTAACTAAAATTACAAAAAGGAAAAATCCAGCATAAATATCTAAAACTCTGTGGACATAAGGCATTTTTAGACCATTTCAAAAAGAGCAGCTTGAAAAATTAGAATATACATTACCTTCTTTTGAACCATCATTGAAAAAGATCACAGACAGTATAAAAGTTATCTCTGGAATATAGTACCCAGAGTGATACCAAAAGTGTGGTCCTTATCCCTGGTGCTTATCCAAATAAGGAGGACAAGATTTTGATAGACAGGAAAAATAAGTCTTAATGATTTGCTAGCAAATGAGAAGAATAACTGACTATTGTCTCAAAGGGAGAACGAAAGTCTTTTTATTTTTTTATTTTTTTTTATATTTTTAATTTTTTATTGTGGGTTGTTCAAAACATTACAAATTTCTTGACATATCATATTCCACACTTTGATTCAAGTGGGTTATGAACTCCCACCTTCACCCCATACACAGATTGCAGAATCACATCAGTTACACATCCATTGATTTACATATTGCCATACTAGTGTCTGTTGTGCTCCGCTGCCTTTCCCCGAAAGTCTTTTTAAAGGAAAATTCAGGGACTGGGCTCAAGGTGTGCCTGTCAGTGGACAGGATTCACGTCCAGATTGTGGCCTTGTGATAGCCATGACTCAGATCTGCTGCACCAGTTCCCAGTCTGGACTCCATTCTTCTGAACTATGAGCTAAAGGACAAATAACCCAGCCTAGGATGAGGAGAATATTAATCTTACTTCTCTTACAGTTAGGAATGGGGAGAAGGAGAAGAGGAAGAAAAAGAAGAAGGAGGAGGAAGAGGAGGAGGAGGAGGAGGAGGAGGAGGAGAAATAAGATTCATACTCAAGCATAAAGTGGACCCTTGTTATAGGAGCATTAAACATGGATTCTTGTATCTCTCTACTCAGTTTTTTCCTAATAACTACATCATACCCATGATTCATGACAAAAAGAAAAGAATAAATTTTTCCTGATATTCTCAGGCACAATGATTATAACTTTGTTGAAATCAGGCAAAGGGTGTTAGCCTGATCTTTGTGTTTGAATGAAGAGTCAATATCCACCTGACTGTGGAATTTTAATTATTGATTAGTGGATAGGTTTTAAAGAAATGTACAAATGATGTGGCCAACAAAATCAGTTCGCTGCAAAGGATCTTACTTTCTGATAAACTCAGATTTTTAATGCACGTAGAAATTCCAAGAAGAGAGATGTACACCTAATGAAAAACACAATTTTTAAAAAGTGGAACTAAAATCATTTCAGAGAAACTAAAGTCTAAAGTCAAAAAAGATAAAGATAATAAGAAGAAACTTTTAAGTTAGATTTAAAGCAGGTAGAATCAGGGAGGGAAAATATCCCAATTGCAAAACAAAAAAAAAAAAACAGATTCTGAATGACAACAGAATGAAGTCTTTCCTTTGTGTTCATTTTTCCCCTGGAGAAGAATGGTCTTAAGACTAGAAAGCATAGACAGTCACACAAGTTCCTTCCAACCTGAACAGAAGGGATTCTAGGGACATTTCGCTCTTCAGCAGATTGCTTGAATTTGGGTAAATATCACCAGATATATGATTTCAAATCCAAAAAACTTCTTGGGAGTTTAATAGCTAAGAGGCAACTTTTTACAGAACAGTATACCTGATATCAAAAAACTTGAAAACATTATATTAGTATATTTATTATTATGGGTACATATATCCTGTAATATGGATATATGTATCCATAATAAAACATAAGTAGGCAAAAATTACATTGCTACCTACAACTGGAAATGAAAACCTTAAATTCCACAGGCCAATGTTAAGGAGAATAACCTTCACTATTTTAACAATAGACATTTTTATTTCTCAAATATCTGAAATGACAGATTGCTTTAAAGTATACCATGTATTTAATTTTTCAAAATATTTGCTAAAGAGTAAAGAAATTCAAAGTGTTTTCACTCAAAAAAAATCAATGATCCCCATATTATTCAGTGATCTGTAATTCTCTGAATGTTTCCTTAGAATTAAATGATAAGCAAGCATTAGGTTTATAAAATACAAGTACAAAGATAGTTTAATTAATATTACAGGAAAGCAATTTATAATGTTGAAGTGATACTATGTTAAATTTTTGACATCATGAAATTGATATAGTGTTATGGTTCGGATGTGAGGTGTCCCCCAAAAGCTCACATGTGAGACAATGTAGGAAGGTTCAGAGGATAAATGATTGGGTTGTAACAGTCTTAACACAATCAGTGAATTAATCCCTGATGGGATTAATTGAAGTGGTAGGATGTGGTTGGCGGAGGTGGGAATTGGGGCATGGCTATGGGATATATATTTTGTATCTGGAGAGTAGAGTTTCTCTCTCTGCTTCTTGATCACCATGATGTGAGCTGCTTCCATCTGCCACACATTCCACCATGATGTTCAGCCTCATGTCAAGCCCTGAGAAATGGAGCCAGCCTTCTATGAACTAAGACCTCTGAAACCGTGAGCCCTCCAACTTTTCCTCCTCTATAGTTGTTCTGGTCAGATCCTTTAGTCACAGCAGCAAAAAAAAAGCTGACTAAAACATATGGTGTCCACATTCCTTTTTCATAAAGTAAAAACCAGTCATATGCCTTCTCCATACACATTAGGAAGAAAAGCAGATAGAGAAGGAAGCTCTTGAATGACTGGGCAGATTATCTTTTAAATACAATATTAAAAAGTCATTAGATTTGATTAAGCTTTAAATCATATAAGACACTGAAATGTTTTTTGTTAATGTGTAAATAGGGATTCTGGAAGAAGGACAATTATTATGGTTGTAATAAAGAAATCGCATTTTTATATTGTACATTCTAATTGTGAGTAATTTGTATTTGTGAATCTGCCCACTCACAAAAATTTTGATTCAAGTTGTCAGTTAGTTCAATCCCTATAATGGCTTTTTATCAGAGCCTGTGGATATGACCTAAAAATTTCTAAAAAAAAAAAAAAAAAAAGAATAAACCCATTCCCTGAAAAAAGAACCATATACCATTTATGATAGAGATGTTTTATGTATAAATTCATATAAACATATAAATTCAAAGGATAATTCTAAGGACACAAATTCAGATTTTCACATTTCTGTGTTTTTCTTTAAATTAGCAGGGAAAACCCTCAATTCCAACTCTCTCAGGCTTCTCTGCATTCTGGTTTAGTCTTGTTCTTCAAGTGTTCTCTGGGTTTCTCTTCTGCATACCACATGTTTTCTTGTGTCTGTACTGGACATTTCTTCCTTATTGTCTCTGCTATCATACTTTCTCTAGATTTCCTTAGGCATACTATTTAATGAATCTGTATAAAAGTCAACTGCCTCAAATATGTGTCACCATGTTCAGTATATCTGCCTGGTTACCCTAGGCTTGGCTTGTAATATTTGCCTAACTGTGAAGTTTTCTTTTGAGCTATAATGCTGGCCATCCTACCCCAGGGTACAGTACAAAGAAGCTACAAGAATTCCTAGGCATCATTATCAAACACCTCATACCCCACAGTGTGTAGGTTTTACCTCTAAAATAACAGGTATCTTAGACATTTAAACTTCTCTGTACATTTCCCTCTGGATTTATATTACAATTAAATTTTTAACAGCAGTAGCTTTTGCATTTATTACTTCCTGCTTTGGATAAATTGCTTGAATTTTAGTATTTTATTATTATTATCCTTCTAAATGTCTTAAACTTTTGTAGTTACATGAGTACATTGCCTTTAGTGAGTCAAATTGGAGTCTAGAACTTGCAGTTATATTTAATGAGATTGCAGGAAAAATTTGCTTGGTGACATTTCACAGTCTAATAATTAAGACTTTTATTCCTCTGTAAAATGTAATGATAATGTCTCTATGATGCAGTAAAATTGTCACAAAAGAAGGAACACTTAACTTTAAAAAAAAATTTAAACAGGAAAGTAAATACTTCATTTCTATGAGGTGGGTTCTGAAACTACTAAACAACACATTATGAAGGTCAAAGCTAAGTGTCCCATATTTTCTTACCTCATAAAAGGATGTGGCTTCATTTCATCAGGGCTCTTGTTGACAAGCCTCTGGCCAGTTTAACCTAGTCAAGGGAGAGGGAGAGTCCATAATTTCTACTGCCATGCCAGGTACGCTACCTCTGGAGCCCCAGGTCAGAGATAGAGATGCAGAGAGACTGCAATTTGCTCGTGTCAGTGCATAACTCCTTAGGGACTATATTCATGCACTCAATAAGAAATAACCAATCTCTTATTTTGTACTGGGTACTGACCTCTCTATTCAAGAGTGTTTGAGGAGGTAGTCTCCTCCTTCCAGGAGCTCACAGATTGGTAGGGAAAACTAGGTGTGCACAAATGGTCCTAACAATAAGGAAGAGAGAATGATGGTTTAACCTAAATAACAAACAGGGAGACTCAAAAGAAAAAATGAGTTCATTCAGGAATAAGGTAGGGTTTTGCAAATCCAGGTACAAATGTCATGGTGAGCCATGGTGGAGACATGGTGTACCCAGGGAGGAAAAGGAAAGAAAAGGTTTGTAAAAGCAAAATACAGAGGATTACATAAGTTGTTTGGAACAATAATCCTTGGTGACAAGGACTCATAACAAAGGCGGCATCCATCCAAGGTGAATAGGCCGTTGCTAAGCAGATGTCCTCATAGTGACTGCCTTAGTGCAAGGTCTTGGTTCTCTGTGTAGGGCAGTTCTCAGGTAGAATCTCTTGAATAGGTCCTATTATCAAGCAACTTCATGAAGAGCCTCCATGGGTGACCTCCTGATTCCATTTGTTTGGGTTTTCACATAAGTGAACCCATTTTGGTAGTGACAGCTTTTATGGCTGCCACAGAAACGGTTCCAACAGTCATGCTGGAGGAGTTCCAGGGAAGCATTTGACTTGTGTGGGAAGGATTTCAATAGAAGATGGCTTCTGGGTTGAGCCTCAAAGAATGAGTTTGTTGTCTGTCCATAGACAAGAGAATCACGGCTTTTTTACAAGTGGATAAGTGAAATAAAGATATATAGAGAAAACCAATGAGGCTGCTCATGGCACAGACCTTACCAAAAATTCAGAAAATAGGGACAGGAGAGCAGTGGGAAATGGAACAAATGAGAGAAGCCACCAAGGGGCTGCCAAACACGGGAAGGATGGCAGATACGGGTCTCCACTTCAGCTCTGCTCTGCACACTCGAGACTTTCTCAGGAAATCAGAAATGTTCTCAAAAACTGCAAAATGAGGAAAACAGGTTTGTTCAACAAACAGTAAAGTAGAACCTTTAAGAACATAGTCCCCCAGAACAGGAAGAGCCAGCTGTGGAAGGGTGCATTGCCTTTCTGCTGTATTAGTTGGAGTCGGCTGGTTGAAGAATCTGTGCCTCATTAAAAGTAGAAATGTAAACAAGATCAAAAGAAATTTACATGCCATGTTTTATTCAGCTGAGTTTCTCCTGAAATTCAAATTGGCTGCATGAAAACAAAAACCTTGGAAGAGACTGTTAACAAAGTCAAATTTCTCTAAGATCCCTGCCTGTGTCAGCCATAATTTTGTAATAGGGCCATCAGCTAAAATAAGGAGCCACTGACCGTATTCTTCCAAGACTATCCCACCATTTAGAGCAGAGATAATCTGTGGCCATTAAGACTTCTAAAGGAATTACTCCAAGAAATCTAGAGATTTGCATACATTATCACTTAGAAGTAATTTTGTGATTAATGTGAAAGGAAAGGGAAATTTTCTGTCAAAAGAAAAAAAAAAAAAAAAAAGGAAAGAGATAGGTAGTTTAGTCCATAATGACTGCACCCAGCACCACCGCTCTGTTTTATGACTCTGAAACAGGACTCCCTTGGAGACACTTGAGGACATTAGGCATGCACATACAGACTGTTCACTAAGCACTGTGTGCCACTGTTGTTTCATGTTCATTGCCCACTAACAAGTTATTTTCTGTGCCCTTTAATTTGGGGAAGGGTGCAAACCACATCACAGTTCTAGAATCATCACTATGCAATGTCAGTTAAGGGGCTTTTAGTGGGAGGCACTCTTAATTGGGACCATCCATACAAAACAACTGAACCACATAAAGCCCCAAACTACAAAACACACAGAGACCTTGGTATTCAAAAGAAAAGAGCAGAATCAAAGACACGAAAGAGGAGAAAGTGGCATCATAACAGAGTCGAAGCTCCCAAAGGGGTACTATCCTACTGATGTATGCCACAGAGCTAATGCTGGACGACACCCTCCACTTTCCTCAACAAATCTAGTAAAAATGACTGCTTAAAAAGAAAAAAGCATCAAGGATAATGCACATTAAATAGATGACCCAAATTTTCTTTCTAATGGTTTAATGAATGCCTAACTAGAGACAGGAAAACAAAAAGGGAACGAATGAAGTAAATGCTAGTTCTATTTCACAAAATTGGCACTCCTAAGAAAAAATGCCCATCATCTTTTATAAAACTGCTTAGGTAAAAACAATATTACTATGTAGTCAACCTTGAGCATATATTAGGAAAATGAATATTTTAAAATAATTATGCCAATAAGGAACTCTGTATCTTTTCAGAAAAAAAAGAAGAAATAAAATTTTAAAAAACCTTTCTTAAGGTTCCACCACTTCACCATTAATCCTTCATAGTTTCCTGAAGTAAATAGACCAGCAAGAAACCACAGATTCAGAAATTTAGTGAATATCCATCAGTGACTTGAGCAAGGACAATAACATAAAATGATAAGGTTCAATAAAAATTTTACTGTCAAAAAATTGCAAATTTAAGCCTATTAAAATTTAAGCCTTATAAAAGACAATAAACAATCAAGTCAACCATCAATTTATTTATTTATTTATTTCAATTTTTTTTAGTACTAGGGTTCAAACCCAGGGGCACTCAATCACTAAGCCACATCCCAAGCCCTATTTTATATTTTCATTTAGAGACAAGATCTCACTGAATTGCTTAAGGCCTCACTAAGTTGCTGAGGTTGGCTTTGAACTCGTGGTCCTCCTACATCAGCCTCCCAAGCTTGCTGGGATTATAGGCTTATGCCACCATGCCTACCTCAACCATCAATTTTAAAAGAGTTTATTGGGCACTTATTACTTACCAGACCTTATGGACATCACATGGAGTCTGATGAGAAATTGAGTGAGACACAGTCCCTATCTTTTAGAGGCTTTCCAACTTGAAGTAGGGGGAGGGGATGAACACAGATAAATTGAAAAAAATTAAAACAAAATATGGCAAATACTACAAAGAGAGTAAATCAAATTCTGGAAAGACCTAGGTGTCAGAAAACCTATTTCTACTTCTTTTGTTCTCTTCCATAGGACAAAATCTTTAAAATTCTTTTCTCATCCATCACATTCCAGGGTAGATCTAAGTGTTTTCCTAGATATTATGAAGGACATCAAGTACCATGAGAAGCAGAAAGTTAGAGCATTCCACTTTTTAAGTATGAATGCAAGAATATGATTTCTTTGCTAGCATTGGTTCTGCTTTTCCTAACATGAGCAAGCACAACCTATTCTTCCAAAGTTTCTTTTTCAAAAAAAATAGGTCTTTAAAGAGCCCTGAATTCCTTGCTTCTCTACATTATAGGCAATTTACTTACTCTGTCTGAGCCTCAGTTTGCCATCTGTAATATGATCAGAATAATAATCCCTACCCCATGTAGTTGCTTTTCCAATTAAATGAGGTAATAAAGCTAAAAACAAACAAGCAAACATATGAAGTACCTGGAACCATTAATAAGTGCTTAATAAGGGAGTTTTTCAAGATGGTGGACTAGTGGACGTAGCTTTCCTGACTGCTCAGTGGCATGAAATCAAGAAAGCAGACAGGCGGCTTCTCCACAAGGTAGGTGAACAAAAATACAAAAGTGGTGGGTGGGGGCGGGGAGCTTTACCAGAATTTAAAACTGGATGTTCAAAGCAGACCATGGACTCAGGAGATTGGGTATAATAAAATATGGAAAAAATCCACAGCAGCACAGCCACTGCCCCACCAGGCCAGAAGCACCAGCCAGAGTAATTCCTCCACAAGAAAAGTGGAGGGAGAAGGGAATTAAAGGAACCTGCATTTTTAGAAGGCCGGAGGTGAGTCTGGGTAGGGAGCATTTAGAAATCAAGGACATTGCCCAACAAACCTGAAAGACGTGCTGCACAATATCCGTGTGCAGAAAAGAAGCCGCCATCTCTCCAGGCAGCGTGCAGAGGAGAAAGGAAGGAACCATCTTGCAGCTGCAGCATGGGGGCGGGCAGCTTAGGGAGCCAACTTCTGGCAAACCTGAATTTGGCCTGAAATCCAAGCCCAGTAAATACACACTGCATGACACAGAGTGTGCTTAAGTGACCAGGAGAAAATCAAACATGGAGAGAGGGTTACACAAGAGACAGCTGGTCATGAATACCCATGCAGCTTTACCCCTCTCCCTCCAATCTGGCCACTTACAGGACCAGCTAGGAGAGACATATCTGGCCGGGAATTTGGAAGGGTAGGGGTAGGAGAAATTGGAGAATGAACTCAAGACCATGAAATGTGGGGGCCATAGGAGACATAGGGAAAATAAAAATTGGCTCCCCCACCAAAGGAGTGGAACCTAGGAGAGATCCCTGGGGTAGAGTCTTCCAGCATTGACCTGCAATTACTGGACTCTGGAGGTGCACTGATTTAAAATCTCCAGACCAATTGGCATTCAGTGAAGATTAAACCTAAATAGTGCCTCTAAAAATTATGCCTATAGGATTAGCTCTCTCACTCCAGCAATCTGGAGGGTGGAGCATCACACTCCAGATGACCCCACCTAAAACTGCTGAGAAGAGAAGCTGAGAATCTGTTGAACTCCAACTTTTCATTAAGATTCTCTTTTGTTTTGTTTTGTTTTTTTCTTTTCTCTGTTCAATTGTGACCTTAATGGTACATGGACATTATACATATTCACATTTGTTTTTTCTCTTATTTCTAGCATGTTCGAAGCAAGTTATTTTTCATGAACCAGTTTTTTTGAGGAAGAGGATGTTTGATTAGTATATTTAACTTTTGTTTTGTAGTCTTTATTTTTATTTTTAATTTTTTTAAATGTTTACTACATATAGTTTTCCTCTGACATATCTGTTTCCTTTGATTCTCTTTCTCTTTTTTCTTCTGGTAACAGCCAGTCTCTATTGTTCTCTCTTTCATTCTTCCTTTGATTTTTTACTTCTAATTTCTCTCCTCCTCTCTCATAATTATCACATCTTATATCATTTCTTTTCTATCCCTATCCATCATTTTAAATTGTAAATCCTTTTGCAAACTTGCTGTCTTTGTTGTAGGCAATAGTCGATCATATCATTTCTATTTATTATGATAATAAATGTTATATATATATATATATATATATATATATATATATATGATGGTAGGAAATATTTGGTTTAATACTGTATATTGTTTGCATTGGTTGTTGTTATTACTTGTCTCCCCTAAACATGAAGTACAGGAAACCTTTAAGGACACTGTAAGTCCACAGGATAGAAACTCTACTGCCTTAGATCCATAGTGCTAGATGGGTAAACACCCAAACAACATGAAAAATCAAGGTAACAAATCACACTAAAGAAACCAAGATAATCCAATATCAGAAACCACTGACACAACAGTGGAAGACATTGTCAGAAGAGGAGCTTAGAATGTACATAGTTAAACTGATCTGCAAAGCAAAGGATGATACAAGGAGTGAAATCAGAGAGAAAATACAGGAAGTTAAAAGTGAAATAAAAGAGACAGAAATTTTGGGGAAAAAAGCAGAAATACTTGAAATGGAGGAATCAATAAACCAAATTAAAAATTCAATAGAAAGCATCACCAACAGACTAGATCACTTGGAAGAGAGCATTTCAGGCAATGAAGACAAAATATATAAACTTGAAAACAAAGTTGACTATGGAGAAAAGATGTTAAGAGACCCTAACCAGAACTCACAAGAAATATGGGATAACTTGAAATGACCAAATTTAAGATTTATTGGGATAGATGAAGGCTTAGAGATACAAACAAAATTAACACAGAATATATTTGATGAGATAATTTCAGAAAAATTTTCCAAACCTAAAGAATGAAATGGAAAATCAAATACAGGACAAAACGTATACAAAATTACAACAGACTCACACTAAGGCACATTATTATGAAAATGCCTAACATTCAGAAAAAAGATAGAATTTTAAAGCCTGCCAGAGAAAAGCAACAGGTAACATTAGAGGGAAAACAATCCAGATCTTAGCTGATTTCTCAACCCAGATGCTCAAAGCTAGGAGGCCTTGTAATAATATTTACCAGGCTCTGAAAGAAAATGGATGCCAAATAAAAATACTATAGCCAGCAAAATTAAGCTTCAGAATTGATGATGAAATAGAAGCCTTTCATGATAAACAAACGTTAAAAGAATTCACAACTAGAAGGCCTACAATATAAAACATACTCAATAAAATATTTCATGAAGAAGAAATGAGAAATAAAAGTGAAAGCCAGCAAAGGGAGGAACTGCACTAGAAAAACAGTGAATCAGTGGAGGAACAAATTCAAATTAAAAGCCAGAAACAAATCAAAATGACAGGAAATCAAATTCATATCTCAATAATAACACTGAAAGTAAATGTTCTAAAACTCATCAATCAAAAGATATAGACTTGTGGCTGAGGATATAGCTCAGTTGGTAGAGTACTCATCTCACATGCACAAGGCCCTGGGTTCAATCCCCAGCACCATAAAAAAAAGAAAAAAGAAAAAGAAAAGAAAAGAAAGAAAGAAAAAGAAAAAGAAAGTCATAGACTAGCAGATTGGATTAAAAAATAAGACCCCTCAATATGCTATCTCCGAGAGGCTCACCTCACAAGCAAAGATATCCACAGACTGAAGGTAAAAAGATGGGAATAAACATATTATTCACATGGATCTTATAAACAAGAAGGGGTTCCTACCTTCATATCAGATAAAGTGTACTTCAAGCCAAAGTTAATCAGAAAGGATAAAGAAGGACATTTCATATTGCTTAAAGGAATTATACATCAACAAGACATAACAATAGTAAATATTTATGCCCCAAACAATGAAGCATCTATGTATATCAAACTAACCACTCTCAGTTACAAGAGAAGTAAATAGACCACAACACAATAATACTAGGTGACTTTAACAGATCTCTCTCACCACTGGATATATCTTCCAAACAAAAACAAAATAAAGAAGCTATAGAACTAAAAACTACAATTAATAATTTAGACTTACAGACATACAAAATATTTCACCCACCAAAGACTAAATACACTTTCTTCTCAGTGTCACATGCAATCTTCTCTAAAATAGACCATATCTTGGACCACTATCAACACTTAGCAAATGAAAAAAAAAAATAGAGCTAATACCTCACATCCTATCAGATAATAATCTAATTAAATTAGAAATCAATGATAAAATAAAAAATAGAAGCTACTCTAACACCTGAGACTAAATAAGACACAATTAAATGATGAATTGATAGCAGAAGAAATTACAATAAAAATTAAAAAAATAAAAAAATAAAATAAAAATAAAATAAAAAAAATACTGTCAAATGAGAATAGTGATACAACATATCAAAATCTCTGGAACATTATGAAGACAGTGCTAAAAGGAAAGTTCATTACATTGAGCTCATTCATTAAAATAATAGAAAGTCAACAAATAAATAACCTAACATACATCTCAAAACCTAGAAAAAGAAGCACAAATCAACACCAAAGGCAGAAGAAGACAGGAAATAATTAAAATCAGAGCTGAAACCAATGAATTTGAAACCAAAAAAAAAAATTGACAAAATAAAAAGTTGGTTCTTTGAAAAAAATCAATAAAATTGATAGACTATTAGCCAAGCTAACAAAGAGAGAGACAAAACTCTTATTACTAAAATTTAAGATGAAAAAGGAAATATCAAAATAGATACGACTGAAATACAGATCTTAATCAGAACCCATTTTGGAAATTTATATTCTAATAAAATAGAAAATCTTGAAGACATTGAAAAATTTCTAGAGATATAAGACCTACCCAAATTGAATCAGGATGACATAGAAAATTCAAACAGATCAATTTCAAGCAATGAAATTGAAGATTCCATCAAATTGAAAAGCTCTCAGCTGAATTCTACCACTTTCAAAAAACTAACACCAATCCATCTCAAACTACTCCATAAAATAGAAAAGGAGGGAACCCTTCCAAACTCGTTCTATGAAGCTAGAATCACCCTGATACCAAAACCAGACAAAGATACATCAAGGAAAAAAATTTTTAGACCAATATCCCTCATGAACATAGATGCAAAAATTTGTAATAAAACCCTGGCAAATTGCATACAACACATATTAAAAAGATAGTGTACCATAATCATGTGGGAGTTCCACCCAAGGATGCAGGGTTGGTTCACCATACAGAAATCAATATATGTAATTCATCACATCAATAGATTTAAAGACAAGAGTCACATGATTATCTCAATAAACACAGGAAAAGCATTTGACAAAATACAGCATCCATTCATGTTCAAAACACTAGAAAAACTAGGGATAGTAGGAACATACCTCAACATTATAAAAGCTATATATACTAAACTCAAGGCCAACATCATTCTAAACAGAGAAAAATTGAAAGCATTCCCTCTAAAAAACTGGAACAAGACCACTTCTATTCAACATAGTTCTGGAAACTCTAGACAGAGCAATTAGACAAAAGAAAGAAATTAAATGGATAAAAATAGGAAAAGAAGAACTCAAACTATTCCTCTTTGCTCATGACATGATTCTGTATTTAGAAGACCCAAAAAACTCCACCAGAAAACTTCTTGAACTCATAAATGTATTCAGAATGTAGCAGGATATAAAATTAACACTGATAAATCAATTGTGTTCCGATGAATCAGTGATGAATCCTCTGAAAAAGAAATTAGGAAAATTATCTCATTCACAATAGCCCCAAAGAAAATAAAATACTTGGGAATCAATCTAACGAAAGAGTTGAAAGACCTCTACAGTGAAAACTACAGAACACTAAAGAACGAAATTGAAGAAGACCTCAAAAAACGGAAACCTCTCCCATATTCTTCAATTGGCAGAATTAATATTGCCAAAATGGTCATATTACCAAAAGCTGCTATACAGATTCAATGCAACTCCTACTAAGGTTCCAATGATGTTCTTCACAGAAATAGAAAAAGCAGTCATGAAATTCATTTGGAAAAATAAGAGGCC